TGTATATATACACTGTGAATAGCTTAGTTATCAATAGGTCTATACATAAAGTAAATAAAGTAATAGTCTAAGGCAATGACCCTTGCAATTACTGCAGTAAGCTGCAATCAGGAAATTCCTTTTTTTTTATATATCATTGTGTGTATTCTTTTATAGATTTAAAAAAAAAGGTAAAAAAAACAAGAAATGAGCAACAGGTCAATTGTTTCCCCAGGCAGGAGGATTGAGAGTGGGAATGCTTGCAAAAAATATATGGATTTCAAGCAGTAACAGTTTGCACACTGGGAACCTAGTCATCTTGATCCGAAGGTTGTCTGATGGGAGCATTCCTTTTACTCTAGGGGATGCTAGGGGATGAGGTAAACGGATCGTTAGGTCAAGGCAGTTTGCATCTGTGGCTGGGCATATGTTAGCCAAAAGCATAAGAACTTGAATGAGTTCAATGCACGCAGATCTATGGAAAGCTGCTAGTCATGTCAACCCTGTTTTCTACTATGAAGATCTAATACTACCCATGATGAGATAACATTCACTGCTCTACTAGAATGCCATAGTTCTATAGAGCCCACTATTCTTCTTTGTCTGATCCAGAAGCATTTTGGTATAAAGGATAAGGCAGCCTATTCAAGGTGCATGTGCTATGTCACATTGTCACCTTACCTCGCCTGCCTGGGCATACATGAAGAAGAAAAAAGGATAGAATTTCTGAAAGTATAGAAACCCTTCCTAAAACTTTGTCCCAGCTCTTATCTTGTGTGACAGCAATCCTGCCTTTGGAGGTATAGAGCCATGCATGCGGGGTGTACATACTCAAAATAGCAATCGTTTTCATCATATTTACAAGCCATTCAAATGATAGTATAGCACAGAAAATATGATTGTTCTGTTATTTATGCTCTTAGACCTCTCCCTTCAGCCTCACTCCCCCTGCGCTGCAGCGGTCTAAGGTCCTGTGAGTCATCACGTTCTATACAGTGTATTGGATGTGAGAATGCTGCAGGACATACCATCGCTGGAGTAGAGGAGACAAGCTGGAGACAGCGGTGTAGGAGCCAAGCAGGATTGCAGTTCAGGTAAGTATAACTTAGACAAAACAAACACTTAAACCTTGCAGTGCAGGGGTAGATCCACTGCAAGCGTTAAGATTTTATTTGCCTGGAGTTCTGCTTTAACTGTAAGCAGTATCATCCAATCAGATGTGCTATGTAACGGGACTGTGAAGTCTAAAGCTGGCCATACACCTTACAATTTATCTGCAGATTTTCTGTGGTCAGATGGAAAAGGTGCAACAGATTCCTCCATCTACACTTAACTGTGTGGATGGAGTAATCTCCACCTGGGCCAATCTGTTACACTTTTTCCATCTGACCACAGAAAATCTGCAGATAAATTGTAAGGTGTATGGGCACCTTTAGGACTAGATGGAAAGAGATACAAATCATTCTGGCTGGTAAAACAACTCTTGCTTATGCATTTCATCTGCGTATTTAGATGTTTGGATAGCGTTTAGCTTTAATTATGTGGTCTGCTGTGGTCACTTGAAGAATAGTAATGAATTACATTACTAAAGAAGACATGGAAAGATCTCATATAATAAGAAGGAGATATTTTGGATTAGATGTCCTGTAGCAAAGGAACTTCATAACGCTTCCTGAAATATTATGCACAATACTTACCGTCAATAAAGCCGATGCCTGCTCTCGTGGCAACATGCATACTCGTATAATTTGTCCCCTAAAATCCAGTTCGACCAAATCAAAGGCAATGGCTTCTGGGACAGCCAGAATGATGGCCGCAGCCCAGATCAAAGTGAGTTCTATGGCCTTCCAAACTGGAATTCCAATGCCCTGTATTCGGTTCCAAGAAGCCACAGCACGATACCTGCCAAAAGATCAGATGCTATTGATCAATGTTTATCTACTTTTCATGTTTATTTCTATTGAGCTTTTTTAAGGTTTTTCTATTGAGGTTTTTTTTTTATTTATAAAGGCAAAGGAAGGCAGTATCAGTACACCATTCAAAGCAAATGCCTTGGTGCTCTAAACATAACAAACAATTAGGGATGTTCAGATACCAGAACTACCAGGGCCCTGGCGCTCCACCACTGTCCTGAAATCATGAGTCTGTATTGTTTTAGAAAAAGTTGTCATATGACACTAAACAAAATTGTATCAGTACTTGTATCTGTGAGTACTTGGAGAAATATCGATACTTGTACGTGGTCTGAAAAAATGGTATTGGAGCATTCCTAACATATACTGTATATATACACACACATAATAAAACCAAGAAAGAAAATATATTAACATCTCATGTATGATAGTCTGAGTTGCTTTGCCATGGTAACCTGGTTCTTTCCTTTATTAATTTATCATTCAAGGTATAATAAGCCTATTATCCATATTAAGCTTAAGAAATTACTAAAACCATGAACAAAAATGTAATATATTGCAGATAACCAGTCCTTCTATGTCATGGCTGCATATGATTTCCCTTTTCAGGCTTTTTACCTGTATTTTCATCTGGTGATTCTTCCAGTAACACTCTTATTGCCCTAGTGTGACAACACTCCCTCACTGTACTGTAATAATGGAGGAGCTGTATTGTACCCCTAGGCTGCAGACTAATCTGGATTACAAACACCTTCTCTCATCTTCATTACATAAGGTAGAGGTGTTCTATAGTTCAGAAAAGATAACTGGGAAAGCTGACAACATTGTTTGAGATTTCAGTTCAGAGAAAGTCACAAGGTTTCTGTGAGGATCAACCACCATGTTTCTGTACTTGCAGAAAATGTAATTAGCCTGAAGAAAGAAAACAAATGCAGCCACCTCATGTAAGGACTGTTAAGCTACAGTCAGTGGCGCCACAAGAGGGGTACAGCCCGCACCCGGGTGACACCATTGGAGGGGTGACACCAAAATGGCTGACAGTCATGGACAAAGAGCCCGACAGTTTCGGGAGAGAGGAGGCCTCGGGACGCCCCCGGCTTCAGTATATTACATAGTTACATAGTATTTGAGGTTGAATAAATACATTAGTCCACCAAGTCCAACCTATTAGGATCTCATTCTAGGAGTACCTGTACCCCTGTATATTACCTGTACCCCTGTATATTACGGTCCCACCGGATTACATTTTTGTTCTTGGGTTTAGATATACTTAAAAGGCTGTTTCCGGGCCAATCAGGGCCAATGGATTGGTTTGTGAAATACCATCAAAGGCAGAAAAACCTTTGTAGGACTATTCACATTTTCAGGCACAATATCTTGATCTTACTGTGTGGATATTAAAATAAACTAATAGTTTAGAACATTACCTGTCTATGCTCAGCGCACATAGACTCAGGACTGTAACACCCACTGAGGCCTTCTGGATGAATGGAACCAGCTTACACACGTGGACCCCAAATGGCCAGTTTTCAGCTAGAAGCTGCAATCACATAGAAATTTTTGATCAGACAGGTAGGGGTTTTGTAATTCAGAAGCTCATTGTTGCAAATGTTTCAAAATTCAGAAATACATGAAGTTTAATGCGAATATTCACAGACAATAAAGTAGGGCATACACAGTTAGAATTTTTAATGAACAAAATCAATTTTGGAACGTTTGTTCTACTTTCTAATCCTTGATACGGTTAAACCAATGATCGATTTCGACCGCAGCAACAAAAAAAGTTTGAGGGAGCATATTGGAATGTTTTTTAGATCGATTGAAATTCTAACAGTGGATGTGGTTTTCATTTGGGAAACTCCATTTATTCCAAAATCGAATGTTAAATAAAAATGACGATCAAACGTAATTTCGACGACAGCCGCCAAGTCTCTGATGGCATCATAAAATGTTCCGATGGGATTTTTCATATAAACGCTCTTTACAAAATCTACCTGTATATACCCTACTTTATTGCCTTAGGCACTTACATTTTGTTTTTGGGCAAGCACTGTTAAGTTGATTCACTCAATGTCATCATATCTCTTGTAGCAAGATCTGAAAATTGGAATTTTCCAGCGCAGTGCCTACTATGGCCATTACACAAAAAATGTAGGGGAACTCTATCCTCCTCATTCCTCAATAATGTGAAGTTAATTGACAGATAAGAAAAAAAGCAGTTAACCACTTCAAGACCAGGTGTTTAGACCCCCTTCCTGGCCAGGCCATTTTTCAGTATTCAGCGCTGCGGTACTTTGACTGACGTTTATTCCATCATGCATTGCTGTACTGAAATGAATTTTATACCATTTTTTGGGGACACATAGAGATTTCTTTTGGTGGTATTTAATCACCACTGCGGGTTTTATTTTTTACTATAATTAGGAAAAATTACTGAAAATTTTGAAAAAAAAAAAGTTTTTTTTTACATTATGTTAGGAAACATTTATTATTAACCAGTTTTTTGGGAAATAAAAAAAAGTCGGGGTCACGTCGAGTAAATAGACACCAAACATGTCAAGCTTTAAAAATGCGCGCACACGCGACATAACAGAAAACTACCATACCCAAAATTGGCCATAGGCGACACTTTAAAAGCTTTTACCGCTTATCAGTTTAGTGTTATCACTGATTGATGGCCCTAGAATTATTGCTCTCACTCCGACGTTCGCGGCGATATGTAGCATGTGCGGTGTATGTATGGGTGGGGACTTTAAACATTTTTTAAAATTCTTTTTTATGTGTAACTTAAAATTTTGGGGGGGACTTTAATTTTTTTTTCACTAAACTTTATTGCTATCACATACGGGGGCTAATAAAACCCCCCTATGTGTTAGCAAAATATGTGACAGGTCCTCTTTATGGAGACATCAGGGGTCTCCAAGACCCCTAATGTCACCTAGGACCCCCCAAAAGAAGCTGATGAAGCAGAGATCTGCTCCATCAGCTTCTTTCCAGCTTCTGAAGCTGGAGAGTGACACAAGAATGCGGAAGTGATGTAATATACAACACCTCCGCATTCTTTCAGAGGAGAGGGGACCGGAGGGAGCCGGCGGACCGCTTGTATGTTAACAGGCATCGCTGCCTGTTTTGAAATTTCGGCCATTTTCCCCGCACGCGCGAGGAGGCGTGTCTGAGCGGAAGTCTAAAGACGCCCGCTCAGATCTAGAGAGCTCCGGGCCGGCCGTTTTTTTACTACAGCCGGCCCAGAGGTAGTTAAAGCAAGGCCCCCTTCTTATGCGCATAGAAGGTAGGTGAAGCTGAGAACTCTGACATCTCATCTGCGGAGTCTTTGTTAGATGTAAAACAACAGTATTAACAACAGAACACCAGCAGCTATCCTAAACCATGGCGAGATAGATTTTAATGCCAGAAAAATGCGTAATAGAGATGTTGTTTTTAATGCTATTATATATTTAGGCATATTGCATGAAATATTGTTGTTACTGTGAAATATAATGGCCATATAGGGCCATCTCTATAAGCTGCAAGGATTTTAGTATGATTTTTGCAAACCATTACATGTTTTGAATAACAGCTAGTGTTGGAATGTTGGAAGAACTGTGCTTACTATAGTCATATGTTCAGTCCTAGAAACACTTAAGCTTCCTTTAAAGACAAAGTTATAGTACGAATTGCAGTGAACTTAGGGGCTTTCTAACCGATGCCTCTAATTTGACCTTAAATTCTTCAGAGCAGGGGGATAAGATTATGGGAAATGCTAGTTACAATGTGATTATTATTGTCATGGGTGCAAGGGAAATAAATGTGTAAAACGTAGCTACAGATTAAAAAATTAAAGGTCATTTAAAAAAAATAACATTAACCCCTAATGACCATTAGCAGTTTATAAATATCTTACGAAAGTGTTCTCTAAGAAGGGAAGGGTGAAAGCTCTTGTCAGTATTTGTGTCCCATTGGGGAGATTTTCCTTCACTTCTTATCCTGTAGGACTATTTTCCAAAATAAGGGAAACCTCCCTTAGACAATTTGTCACTTGAACTGGTGTCCCCATTGGAAGAATTTTCCTCATTTTCGTTCTGATGACAACAAAAAATTAGAATTTTCCCCTACTTTCAGTCCTGGCAACAGGAGCTCCAGGACAAATAGAGAAAGTAGTTCTTTTTAGTGAATACACAAACATAAAAAGCTAACATGGGTTTTAATCCCATCCCAAAAGGGTTTTGCCTTTAGATACAATTTTAGGAATATATGGTGCTTGTAAATACTTGTATAGCCATGATCACAAAAGAGGCATAAATGTCTAATCT